GGGATAGCGATTATCTCCTTTTACAGTTCGCCAAATTGTTTGTGGTGACACTCCCAATACAGCCGACGCATTCCGAACGCTGGTCTCAGGATGATTGTCAAAATGTTGTAAAATACGATTCCCTGCCTGCAAATCTCTTCGTAACGCTGCTTGAAATCGGTTGTTTTCTTGTCGAATTGAAAATGATCCAGTCTCTCGCAATCTATTAAATGTCAACATAAACACTCTTCGGTTTGGCACTCTTCTGTTTGGAAATCGTCGTGCATATTCTCGCACCGCCTTTAAAGCATTACCGTTGCAGAAACCGTATACAAAAACCATATCAGCATATTCACTATTAGAATACGTACGCGGCATATTGCAAAAGACAAAATTCATCTACTGTTAAAGGCTTTCAAAGAGCGACTGACAAATTCATAACAGAAAGTGGAAAATGTAATCAAATATGTCGGTGCTAGATATGGCAAGAAATGTAAACATTTTTTTTCGATTTCTCTGAAACGGAGCAAAAACGAGCATATGTCTATAGGACTTTTTTTCTTAGTTTTTTACTCCTCTACACGCTCCCGAAGTTTTGCGATTTAATTTGGAAACACCCTGTATATATATATATATCTAATTCACATTGAATTATTTAAGCATTAAAGATCCAGCTTCAACCGTTATAAGCATTTAATTTTTAGTATTGTAGGTAACGTCGCTGTACATCGTCGAGGATAAATGTTATATCCAATAGTATTATGGCTTACTTTTTATTAAATATAACTTTGTTAATTGCGTTTTCTTCTCTTGCGGTGTCTAACTTACATCATTAAAACAATTTAAGAATTGTGAAAAGTGAGATGAAATCACCTTTAAGATATTTTTACATATGAACCGCATACTGGACATTATAATGTGACCGAAATTTCCGATAATTTATGTAATATTGTTCGTTTGTTGTTTTACATTGAAAATAACTCGATCGGTGTCGAAACGTTGTATGTACGATTTTTAAATTATTAAATATTTTACATTATAATTGGCTCGTAGCCCTTCTTTTATTTATATTGTTTTAGTATTGTGTTCTCACACGTACGGTCTAAAATAAAATTCTTATTGTCCGTAAAATCTTGTTTGGAAATCAGGAAAAAGTTATAGAATGTTAGGATGAGGAATTTATGTGACAATCTTAATCGAACATACGAAGCCAACAACGCAACGAGTCGATTTTTGGAAAGTAATCTGATTTGATGTATCGGGAGGTAAATGGAGGTAGATTGTCACTCGGCGAACGTGACGATCAGCAGCGAGTTTCGCGTTAATCTCCGAGATTGACGGCATCAAGCGTCGGCGTCTCTTCTCGCATCGAAATTCGGAGTACAGCATCAAGTTAATCCTTCCTCGTCGTTAAGTTCGTCCCACGCTATTTACACAATTAGTCTACGAATCGAATTAAATTACTTTTACAAAATATAATCATCACTCTTTGAAAAGGATCCTTTTATTTTTAATTTGTCAAAAAATTAAAGCTGGAAATTATGATAATAATTCTGATGAATTGAAAAATTTTAAATTATCACATATTTAATTTCTAAAGAAGTTTCGTAGAAAAATAAGGAAAATAATACTTTTCATACATATAAAGCATACGAATTAAAGAAAAAGGTTGCGTACGTAGTGCACGTATATAATTATATGGACACAGAGTACTGTTACAATTCTGGGTCGTGTAAACGGGGCTTCATACAGTTCATACCGCGAGATTCTTGTAGGAAGACAGCAGCGTTGGCTCTCTGGCGAACGGGTATGCAAAGGAGAAAGAGAAAATAAGAGAAGAAGAGGAGAGTAGGTAGGTAGAGGTTGAAGAGCCGTCGCCGCCGCCGCCGCCGCCGCCGCCGCCTCCTACCTTCGGGGTCCGGGTATCCTCGGCTCGGCACTGAGCGACTGTGAGCGACGACGAAGCGAGGAATACAGGCTGCCAGGCCGCCTTGCCTGTGCTTGCCTGGCTGACTGGATGGTATGATGGTGGCTGCTGCGACGATGGTGCCGTGCCGACAGTGACGGTGGTAGTGGTGGCATGGCGCGCGGGTAGGTAGGGGAATTACGGGGAACGTGCTTTTAGGCGAGGACGAGCGTCCGTAGTCGTGTCCGAACCGCGAAACAGGCGGGTTTGTACCTGCATGGAGTAAGAGGCGGTGGTGGTGGACGAGGAGTGACGAGGAGGTGGTTTACTCCGTACCTCGTGTCCGTGCGATTCGCTTCGCCTCCATCCGCGAGCGGCAAAAACACACGGTCCTTCCACCAGTTCCATCAAGTTCCACCGGCAGTGCGACGCGACGTTTTCGAGTGTCGTGAAGGCTGTCGTCCGCTCGCAAGTATACATCTGTTCCATCTATTGGTCGGACTCGCTCGGTGCTCGGTACGCTTCGCGGCAAGCACGTGCGTACAGTGTGCGTCTATGACGGCAGCGGCGATCCTATCTCGCTCGAAATTTTGATGGTCCGTACGTATCATGGTCCGTAAGGTCGTATCCAAGTGCGCATTTCTGGCTTTGATAATTCGTATGGTTTACGGATCGTCGCTGGGATAACAAATCGACCGTGGGGTGAGGAGAGAATCGTTTCTGCGGGGAGCTGCGCCTAACCGGAAGTTGCGAGGGACGTCGCACGGATACCTCGTATGCATCCAGGGCGGCGTGTCGATAGTTACGGAGGAGGAACAAAGTGTGCCGCCGATTCAAGAGCGGGGAGTTAAAAGAGTGTAGAGGGATCACGGCGATCGCGCCCGCACACACGCACGTCACGCACGCACGCACGCACGCACGAACGTACGCATGCACGCATGAAGGTCCCATGGCTACCGGATTGGTAAAGTGGTGGCGAGCAAGGTTCCTCGCTGGCTACAGACCCTTTTCTGGTAATGAACGCTCCTTCTTTTCGGGACGCACGCTGCGATATTGAGACTCTCGGGTTGTATCCGAATCGACCGTGAAAAAGGAAAAAATGCACAATGCTGATTCAAGTCCTTGACAATATCTGTTAACTTCTCAGACGAATCTTTGATTTTAACGAACCGATGGTAAAAATATAAACAATGCGAGATCGCATACACATTTCGTTGGGTTTATTTCGGAGTTGGCAAAATTCCATATTTTTTGAATAACATTCATGCCAGTGAATCGTAAAAACCGGTATTTTCCGGAAAAATCGGCATTTTCCGCAAAGCCGGAAAAACTGGTCTTTTCAAAAAAGAAAAGCAAAATTATCTTTTTACATCAAGTACATAAATATATTTTAGTATCATAAATTCATCATTCTTATAATTTTTGCCAATTTATTTCATTGGATAAAATCTAGCACAGTAAATGTGGATTTACTATATTTTTTCCACTGAAATTTTCCAGATCCTGGTGTGCTTTTCATTTAGTGACACAAGTCGACACGAACATCATTCTATCTTGATATTTTACATTCAAAGAGTAACAAAGATAGAACGACACTTGTGTGTTGAATTGTGTCACGAAATGGAAAGCATTCCTGACTTATTCAGAGATATCCAAAAATCCTGGTTGTTCCTCTCATGTTTCCTCTCGTAGGTGAAATAATATTGAGTTAAATATATTCTTGTTATTTAATTAGATTTAATCCTTTTCTGACAATAATAAACAACGCAGTTCATTAGCTTAATGATCCGTTCGTAAACCTCATGTATTTTAAAATTTGTACAATTAATTACAATGAATGCAAAAGATATTCGTACAACAAAGAAGACATTTAAAAAAAATTTTATTTTTAGAAAGTATAAACGTTAATTAGCAATTTATTAATAAAGAATGAAATAGACTATATATAGTTCAGAATTATTTTATTTAAAAAAATGCGTAATAATTAAAATATATTATCTTAATAATAACAAAGAATGAAAACTTGTATTATTTGAAGTACAGTCGAAAAATTTAGTTTTTAAAATCACGAACACTATTATTTTCGCAAAACTTTTTTAGTTATTTTAAAACAGGATATTTTCATTATTGTTAATAAATTGTTAATTAATATTTATTTTTTCACAAAGAAGGCTTTTTTAAATAAAAATCTTCTTTGTACGACTATTTTTTGCATTCACTGTGTATTTGTTGGGTGTAATTACAACATACATGTATCGCGTTTACGAAATATTTTTTAAATATTGATAACGCGAATTAATGAAAAGCAAAAACAGTTATCATACAGATGTTTCGCAAAACTCAATTCGCCTTAAAAAATTTTACAGATATCGGTTTTGCAGAAGATATAATTCTTACATTAACGTTTAACTTATATATTACATTAAAATACCGGTTATTTCAATTTATTTTACCTGTCAACATGATAAGTTTTTTGTAAGTTTTATTTGAAGAATGCCGCGATTAAAATATACACCAATCCAGATAATCCGAAGAAAACTGTCGTTTATCAGTGAACCGTTCTTAGACCATTTTCTTATCGGGTATATTTCCTAGAAAGCAGGTTTTAGAAACTTGTCGAGTTTTAGGAACGTAAAAAAAAACTTCGAGGTACAATTGGTTGATTTTTAAACGAGATTTTTTTTTCAAATAATAATTAAAATTCGTTCTTGACTTGAATAATAATGACAAAATGTCTCCTTGTTTCCATTTGCATTCTATTGTGTGTTTCTCGACAAAGTTTTAAATAAGTTTCATAATCAGGTACAAAAGACGACAGTCCGATATACCTGAGAAAATCCGGGGAAGTAGTTAAAGAGCGACGCAGGTTGCGAGAGGGAGGGAGAAAGGTTCGATGGAAAAAACAATGCGGAAAAAAAAAGAATGTGATGAGCGGTGGCGTCTGTACGATCAATCGTGCCGCCGCAAAGGAATGACCGTCGTGGATAATGCCAAGATATTATCGAAGCGGATACCACGTGGTCTTACATCACACTTACACTTTTCTTAGCTTTCGGCTTGTGTCTATAGTCTGTACGCTTGTCTCGTAACGCGTCGTTGAAAATAGCGCGGAAATTGCGGTGCGTGCGTTTAGTGACAACAAAATTACTCAAGAGAAGCTTCTTACTCACAGTTCTTCAATTTCCCGTCACGAATCCGACGAATCGCAATCTCCAGATAATAAAATTGTTTAAGTTATATGTACTAATTAACACTCGTCTTTTTTTAATTATTAATAAATAAAAATGGGAGCAAGGATATTTTCATGAAAAGTACATGTTAATTATTATTAAAAAAGAGCTTGTTTAAAAATTAATTAAATATTAATCCCGTAGTTTTCGTTTTTTTCGTTTTTATAAAACGTAACAAAAATATAAAGATAGATATTTTTTAAACTTTATTCAATAATTTATATTTTTTAATAAATAAATATTAATAAGTATACTTTTGTTATGTTTAACTTCATGAAATATTTACAATACAACGATATACTTAATAACGCGATAACATGATAAACCTTTAAAGATCGATGCGTGAAATGACCCATGAGTCTCAATTATTCATTCGTGTATAATACATTAGTTGCGTTCTGAGATAATTGTTAAAATTATTCACTTATTGTGAATTCTTTAGAATAAGCTATTAACTTTAAAAATGCGCGTATATGTACAAAGTCAATTGGTAATAATAGGTTGTAAAAAATTTTACAATTAGTGTAGCAGGAAACATTAAACTAATAGCAGATTGATATTATGACGCATCTTTTTCTTCGCACAATTTTAGAAAACAGATTAACGTATTTGTTCGTAATGTGTCTCACCAAGTTGCAATTTTCACGAATATTCGTCAATTTTCACGTATGGTAGTAATGAATATCAAATGTCGAAGGAGGGTTTGTGCACTTCTTACACACACACACACACACACACACACTTATGTGCGTAACGCACTGAAATCGTATACGCGCCTCCATCAGAGTTTTAACAGCCACGTCCATCGTACATATATTCGTGCTTTGTGCCCGTTAGGTAGAACGAGTTTACAGCCCATTACACAATAGTTAACGATAAAATCGAAACTTGCGATTGAGGATGTAGGCCGAAATACCATTCAAGATGGGACGTTGCGAAATCCGAAAAACGAGATGCAGTTTGGCAATCGAAGTAGAATTAATGATTGAACACGTGCAAGAACCGATCAGCTTTATTTTTTTTAATTTACTACAGTATTAACAGAAAACTGCTTTATCAAATACATGTATACAGAGTATAACTGAAATAACGCCCACTAATCATATAGTGTGTTAATTAAAAACTGAGACGAAAAGTCCTCTATTTTACAATTTTCGCAATATTTTTTTTTAGTTACCCAATGATCAAAATGTTTAAAATCGACAGCTTTAAGATATCTTTAAGAGTTCTTTACGAAAATTCTTCAAAATATTTCACAAAGAACACGGAAAGATATCTAAAAATTTTCTTATATATCGATTTTATCCGTTTGTTTGGCAATATTTAGAAATTAATATCTCGTTAACTATTGCGAAAATTGCAAAATGGTAGAGGACTTTTCGACTTATTTATTAGTAATAGCACTGTATGATTAGTGGGCGTTATTTCAGCCTTGTGTAACCTGGGTTTACACCTTGTGTAACTGAATATTATGTGATAAATATTTTACGAAAACTGTTAAAATACGTAGAGATTCTTCATTTTATTTGAAGCTGTCGGAGCTATTTTTTTTATATCAAAAGAGTGAAATATATTTGTATACGTTACACTCGTAAAGTTATTTTCATCAAATAAATGGAGCTGATCGGATTTTACATCGAGCCCTTCAATTGTATTAGCAGTTCGGAGACAGTATAGACAGGAAAGTGTATTTAATGTCGATCATCATGAAAGCAAACGTGAAGATTTTTCTGTTTTCGACGAGCGTCGAGATGTCTGTTCTCTGAAATTATGAAAGTCGAGATTTCGCCGCCTTCGCCAGTGCGTAAACTCAGCAGCATCGAGATTCGATGGTTCTGGTTAGAATTCCAGCTGCTTCCCCCCCGGTTATACCAGTCGCCGAAAGGCTTCCTCCCCGGTGGAACGCCGCGTGACTGTCGGCGCGGGGAAGCGTAAAAATACCGCCTGTGCACCAAACACGCCACCGGTCGCGGATGCCGCGATGCGTGTTAAATGCCGCCTTTTATTCGCTCCTCTGCCTCTCTTGCCCGAGGGCAGAAATCGCGATCGTGCGCGACGGGAAAGCGAGCGACCGGAGAACGGCTTCCCGATCGCGTTCCCGGTTCGCGCCGCGCCCAATCGCGCGTGTTTGTACGTCGATATATATATGTATAATAAAACGATCTCGAGAAATAATTGACCCTCTTAAGAAAAGAAAAACACGACGATTAGGTCTAATCTAATCTTGGTTCCTTTTGTTGTACCTGATGGCGAAAGAAGGATACGGTTGCGTAGGTCAAATGAAACTTTAGCAGCCTCTGCATTCCCGCATAATGAATCTTTCTTACCTGTTCAGTCGTAGGGACCAATACAGAAGGTAGCGATTCCGAGGAGTTGCTTACGGGCGTCCCGACGACCTGCAACGTCTCGTCACCACCGACGACGGAGTCGCAACCGATTTTAATCTCCCCCGTAGAGTCGCCCCAGGTCGCGGCTGATAGCTCGGGCGTACCTGCTGGACCTACCAGTAATGATGAACAGCCTACCTGCGGTACAACGAAACAGCTTAGTTTTGAGGTGAAATACTTTGATTTATCTTTTAAAGTATTAAAATAAATAAAACTCTCGATGATTAAAAATGGAAAGTGACATTGAATGGCTCTATAAGGAGTCAACGGAAGTTATAATTACATATAATGATAATTTTTTATCTCGCATTTCTCCTTCATTTTTTGCTTTTTTTATGCAAGTTAATTATTTTTCTAACCGAGTGCATTTTTAATTTATCTTGAAGATAACAAATTCTACTCTGAAATGTGATAAATTCTGGGTGGGAAAGCAAGTCGATTTTAGTAGATTTTTTTCATGTCAATGCTTTCAAGCAACTGTAGTGAAAGAAGATCGATAATCGTCTTCTTATCAATTAATTGAGGGGATGGGCGGAATAAAGGCCTAATTACAAAATCTTGAGTTTGATAAAAATTAAAATAATTTGTTATGTACTTTTTTATTATACTATTATATAAATAGGAACAGTATTAAATATGGATGCACCGGATATCCGGAAAGTATCCGGTATTCGATATTATCCGGCACTTTTTTTACTATCC